GTGATAATTTTATTATTACACTACTTAAACTTCTGTGGCTCTCAGGTCTTCATACAAAGCTGGTAATTTGCTCCACAGGTCATAACCAAACCCACATGTGTTCTGGGCTGTGTGCCAGGGTCTCTGAGCCCCCTGGCAGGGGTCCCAGCAACTCTGGACATTCAGATGTACTGAATTCTCACAAACATTAGCTGGGGATGTGGCCACTGTTTATCACACACCTTTCTCCTTTCTCACAACTTTAAGTACATGAAGAGGATTCCTGATGAAATTTGTTAAAATCCTGATTTAATTACCCACAGATATTCATCTTCTCCCATTAGGGGTGACCTTTCAATCAGGAGTGTGACTCAGAATTAGTCAGCCCGATCTTTCCTCTCTTTAGTTACATGACTGTGGACAACTTCCAGCGGGGGATTTTTACTTGGCCAATGAATTTTGGATGGAGGCAGATTCCACAAGAGGTCATTGAGAAAAATAACATCAAGGAAACTGATATAATAAGGTAAATAAAAGAGATGTGAGAGCTTTGCAAACCAGCCTGTTCCTTTGGTAATAATTTAGCAGCAGAGGCTCCTTTGAGGACAAGTGTTGTTTTTTGTGGCCAGGTATTGTTCCTGTGCTTTCCAGGACAGGTGAGGCACAGGCAATCCCCCCATCAGGCCTGGGCAGAGCCCAGGAAGCCTTTCTCCCCATGCATGGCGCTGCTGGTGTGCCAGCCAGAACATTTCCCTGCCTTTCTTGGCAGTGCCTTTCTTTCCTCACTGCCCTTTTGTCACTGCTTCTCCTGCCCTTCCCTGCCCCATCACAGCTTTCAGGCCAGGTGAAGCCACCCAAACACCCTCTCTGACACACCATGTGGCCTCTGTGTCCCCAGGTGCCCCGTGATGGCAGGTGGCCTGTTCTCCATCGACAAGAAGTATTTCTCTGAGCTGGGAATGTACGACCCAGGACTGGATGTCTGGGGAGGAGAAAACATGGAGATTTCATTCAAGGTGGGTGACTGTCACACAGCTGCACCCCTGCCAGCCTGGGTGGGTGATGCAGGGGCTGCCCAGGGACAGCTCCATGTCCTTGGGCACTGGATGGCACAGCTCCATGTCCCTGGGCACCGGATGGCGCAGCTCCATGTCCTTGGGCACCGGATGGCACAGCTCCATTTCCCTGGGCACCTGAGCTGCCTCTCTGAGGCAGTGCCCCCTCAGCTGGTGTCTGTCAGTGATCTCTGTCCCGCAGGTGTGGATGTGCGGAGGAGAGATCGAGATAGTGCCGTGCTCCAGGGTCGGGCACATTTTCAGGAATGACAATCCCTACTCCTTCCCCAAAGACCGGGTGAGGACGGTGGAGAGGAACCTGGCGCGGGTGGCCGAGGTGTGGCTGGACGAGTACAAGGAGCTGTTCTACGGCCATGCCTACCACCTGCTGCACAGCGTGGACGTGGGCGACCTGAGCCAGCAGATCCAGCTGCGGCAGAGGCTGCGCTGCAAAACCTTCCGCTGGTACCTGCACAACGTGTACCCCGACCTGGAGGCTCCCCTGGTCAAGGCCAGTGGACAGGTATGTGCCCTGGGCAGTGCCCACTTGCCTTTGGCACTTTTTGGGGTGTTTCATATGGCACAGAGGTGTGCATTCCTGAGCATTTTTATAAAGAAACAGGCCACAGACAGAAGGGATTCCCTGTAGAGGGCTGGTTAGGTGTCTGGATGGGCAAGGGGGAGCACAGCCGCCCTCACCCCCTGCCCCCACTCGAGGGCTGCAGTGCAGTGCAGGGTCTGCAGGGTCAGGGTCTGTAGGGTCAGGGTCTGTAGGGTTGGGGTCTGTAGGAGCAGGGTCTGTAGGGTCAGGGTCTGTAGGAGCAGGATCTGTAGGACCAAGGTCTGTAGGGTCGGGCTCTATTGGAGCAGGGTCTGTAGGAACAGGGTCTGTAGATGCAGGGTCTGTAGGAAGAGGGTCCATTAGATGCAGGGTCTATAGGGTCGGGGTCTGTAGGTCCAGGGTCCATAGATTCAGGGTCTATAGGTTCGGGGTCTATAGGAACAGGGTCTGTAGGAACAGGGTCTGTAGGAGCAGGATCTGTAGTGTGGGTCTCTGTAGGAACACGGTCTGTGGATGCAGGGTCTATAGGAGCACGGTCTATAAGAACAGAGTCTATAGGGTCGGGCTCTATAGGAGCACGGTCTGTGGATGCCGGGTCTGTAGGAGCACGGTCTATAGGAACAGGGTCTATAGGGTCGGGCTCTATAGGAGCACGGTCTGTGGATGCAGGGTCTATAGGAGCACGGTCTGTAGCACGGCTCCGCCGCCAGCAGAGCGCAGCAGCCGCTCGCGTTGCCGACGCTGCGGGCCCGGGGAGGGACCGGCCCCGCTCCGGGCTCGGACCCTGCCGAGGGCAGGGGGCAGAGAGCGCTTTAAAGCCCTTGTGGGTTCAATGCTGCCTGCACAAACCTCTCGCCCGGCGCCCGGTGAGAGACACCGGGTCAGGCTCCCCTCCTCCTCCACCACAGAATGCCAGAATGGTCTGGGTGGAAAGGGACCTTAATGCTCAGTTTATTCCATCCCTGCCATGGGCTGGGACACCTTTCACTCGGCCGCGGTGCTCCAAGCCCCGTCCAGCCTGCCTGGAACGCTCTGTTCTGCCTCCTTCCTTATGTGGACAGTGTTAATCTGAGAGCCCAGCAGGTTCAGTTTCAGTGCAGTGTAACATCCTCTCCCCGTCCTGGGAATTTCTCTCTAAATTGCATTTTGTTGCTGTTTGCAGCTCGTTAACGTGGCCCTGGCGGGATGCATCGCTGTGCAAGGCACCAGCCTGGCTTTTGAGGAGTGTGATGCTAACAGCATGGTAAGGACAGCCTGCAGGTGCCCCGGGTGTGCCACCCTGCCTGTGGCACGGGCACCCTGAGCCTCCCCGGTGCCCTGTCCCCTCCCTGGGGCTGACACAGCCCTTTCCCCATGGCCAGGCCGTGCCTGGGAGCAGCAAGGGGCAGGAACAGCCTGTAGCCAAGCAACAGCGCCAGAAACAGCAAATTGGGCTGGTTGGGAAGGTTTGATAAAGCTGTGAGTTTGCACATGAAAACAGAGACCGATTTAAACAGCAGCATCCTTGTGCAGCTGCTGGCCATGCATCCAGCTGTTCCTCACAGCCCTTCCAGTGCTCTGACCCAGAGTGCCAGGGCACAGGGGGTGGCTCCCACTGCCAGGGGCAGGGATGGGTGGGATATCAGGAATTGGGAATTCCTGGCTGGGAGGGTGGGCAGCCTGGCACAGGTGCCCAGAGCGCGGTGCCCAGCCCTGCCATGGAGCCTGACGGGGCCGTGTCTCCTCCTGCTCTCTGCCCACAGAACCAGAAGTTCAACTACACCTGGCTGAGGCTGGTCCAGCACGGGGAGCTGTGCCTGGCACCCGCGGGCGTGCTGGGAGCCGTGGGGCTGCGCCCGTGCCAGGGCAGGAACCGCAGCCTGGCCTGGCTCCACAGGGC